ACTGGGAGCCGGCGGTGAACCGTCAACCAGGTTACCGCCGGGACCCTCGTAGAGCTCTTAATAACCAAGTTGCAACAACAAAAAAACGTTTCTCATTACCAGCTTGAAAAATTAGAAAATCTTGTTTTCGGTCGTGCACAATGTTGGTTCCCCGTAGTGTTTTGATCGAAATACTGCAGCTAGGGCCCTCAGGATTGCACCATCGAGAGCGCCATTATTCACTGCATGGAATAAAAATTCGAATTTGTAAAACGAAATTCAAAATCTCTTGCCATCTTCGAAAAACCGACCCCAGGTCATCACATTGTCCGCCCCAGCTGGGTTGGCCAACTAGCTGCACCCTGCGCCGTAATTCCTCCAGCTCATCGATGCCGAAAAGCTCTACGAGGTACTAGCTCTAGCCCGCGCCGGAACTGGCGCCGGCGGCGGTAAACCGTCAATCTGGTCACCGCCGGGAACCTCGTAGAGCTCCTGACACGCGAAAGAGTGCTCAATATCAAAAGAGAGCGTTCTGGAAGCATTTCTCGAAAATGAGAAAACATGATTTTTTGATATCGACATAAAGTTTGGTTTCACCAAGTGTTTTAATAGTGAAAGTGAATGTAGAGAGCTAATCTTCTGACGCTGAGGCTCTCATAGATGTCTACAGGTGCAAAAAATCTGCTTTCTCAAAATAAATGATCAAATATCTTCAAAAAATTGCAAAACCACCCAAAAGTTATCACTTTGTCCTATCTGGCCGGGTCGCCCGACTAGCTCCACCCCGCGCCAGAATTCCTCTAGCTCATCGTTGACGAAAAGATCTACGAGGTCGTCCTCTTGCTCATCGATACCGAAGAGCCCCACGAGGTATAACTGGCGCCGGCGGTGAACCGTCAACCTGGTCACCGCCGGGAACCTCGTAGAGCTCCTCTCACTGGTAAGAGTGCAGAGAATCGACACAGAGTCAAAAAATTAAGATTTTTCGAAAATCTTCAAATTCGATTTTTTCGATGTTCATATTCGCTTAGTTCCTGGAAGTCAGCTCATGTAAAAATGCATCGAGAGAGCTGAGCTGCTGTTAGAGAGAAGTTTATATGCCAATGCTCGGCGTAAAAATCTGCTTTCTCAAAATAAATGGTCAAATATCTTTCAAATTTTCGCAAAGCCACCCAAAAGTTATCACATTGTCCGCCTCGGCCGGCTGGGCCAACTAGATCCGCCCCGCGCCGGAATTCCTCTAGCTCATCGATGCCGAATGAGCTCTACGAGGTACTGGGCGCCGGCGGCAAACCGTCACCCTGGTTACCGCCGGGGAACTCGTAGAGCTCCTAGCCACGTGTCATAAGTCCACGCGTATCTCTGGAGTGCGCACGGTGAGATACTGGCGCCGGCGGTGAACCGTCAACCTGGTCACCGCCGAAAACCTCGTAGAGCTCCTTGCATCCGTGAGGCAGCTCAGGATCAAAGCGGAGAGCTTCTTCGGGCTTTTCTAGAAAAACTCCAAGTTCGGATTTTTCGGAATCAACATGAAGTCGGTTCCTCCAAGTGAACTGGTACTGAAAATGGCTCTAGAGAGCTGAGCTACTCAGGGAACAAAGTTTATATGCCAATGCTCGGAGTAAAAATCTGCTTTCTCAAAATGAATTGTCAAATATATTTTAAAAAATTGCAAACCCACCCAAAAGTTATCACTTTGTCCTTTCTGGCCGGGTCGACCAACTAGCTCCACCCCGCGCCGGAATTCCTCTAGCTCATCGATGCCGAAGAGCTCTACGAGGTATTTTCAACCGACCAAGAGTCAGCGAAAGGTCCGTCGAGATTTTCTTGCCAACTAGCTCTCCAGCGCGCCGGAATTACTCTTAATCTTCCAGCAACTAGCTGATCGGAAGCTCTACGAGTTATTCCTCTAGCTCTTCGAAGACGAAGAGCTCTACCAGGTACTTGGTAGCATCGAACTTGCGCCGGCGGTGAACCGTCAATATGGTCACCGCCGGGAACCTCGTAGAGCTCCTAGCACGCGTAAGAGTGCTCTAGCTCATCGGTGCCGAACAGCTCTACAAAGTTATGCCAAATATCTTTTAAATATTCGCAAAACCCAAGAGTTGCCACTTGGTAGAGCGAAGAGAATCTCGGGGACGGGAAATATTCCCTAGAGAGCCTTGGGAGCCCCCCTCGAGCGCGGCGGGACCGCTGCAAGAAACGCTTCCATGCGTGCCTGTACGCATGCAGGCACGCGCGGAAGCTTGCCGGTAAGCTCCACCGCGCGCCGGAATTCCTTCAGCTCATCGATGCCGAAGAGCTCTACGAGATAAATCCGGAGAGCGACTGGCGCCGGCGGTGAACCGTTAACCTGGTCACCGCCGGGAACCTCGTAGAGCTCCTTGCATCCGTGAGAAAGCTTAGGATGAAAGCTGAGCTTCTGGGAGCTGTTCTACAAAAACTTCAAGTTGAGATTTTTCCGAGTCAACATGAAGCCGGTTGCTCCAAGTGAACTGGTACTCAAAATGCCTCTAGAAAGCTGAGCTGCTCAGGAAACTGGGCGCTGGCGGTAAACCGTCAACCTTTCTTACCGCCGGGGGACTCGTAGAGCTTCCTGACAACATATAATGTCGAAAGAAATTACACTGAAAAATAATTTTTCAGTCCAGGCAATTTGAGACCTCTCGGATGCTTCTAGATTGTCTTCTGTACGAGCTCTGTAGCTCTCCTACAGCCCGAGTTATGTGCGGAAATCGACAGCATCTCTGAAGATGACTCGGACAATACGAAGAGTTTGGCAAACCTAGTTCGAGCATCAGACCGAGTTCAGACCTCTGCATGCGACAGGCGGACGCGTCTGATGTCTCTGAATCGATCCCTGTGATTACAAGCCCTGCAGCCCCCCCTGCAGCCGAGTTAAGTGCAGGGAACCGACAGCATCTCTCAGGATGACTCGAACAATGCGAATAGTTTCGCGGACCTAGTTCGGGCAACAGACCGAGGTCGGAGCTCTGGATTCCGCAGGCGAACGCGCCTGATGTCTCTGAATCGATTCCAGTGATTACCAGCCATGCAGCCCCCCTACAGCCCGAGTTAAGTGCAGAGAACCGACAGTATCTCGCAAGTGACTCGAACAATACGAATAGTTTCGCGATTCTAGATCGGGCAGCAGACCGAGTTCAGAGCTCTGCATTCAACAGACAACGGCCACTGATCATTCTGAATCAGATTCTGTACGTAGCAACTCTTTAGCTGTCCTGTAGCTCGAGTTAAGTACAGAAAACCGAGAGCGTCTGTCAAGATGACTCGAATAATACGAATAGGTTTGCGGACCTAGCTCGGCTGGCAGACCGAATTCAGACCTCTGGCTTCAACAGGCGAACGCGCCTGATCATTCTGAATCGATTAGCTGTGCTTACCAGCTCTTTAGCTGTCCTCAAGCTCGAGTTATCTTAAGAAAACCGACACAGCGTGACAAGATGACTCGAAACAGCCGATCCCGCCTGTGTGCTTTTTGACAATAAAAGGTACCCGATCGAGCTGAGATCAAGATGGCGAGCGGGAATAAGATCGAATACCACGGGAAAAAATACTAGAGCTCAAACGAATTGTTGAATTTTGAGAACCAAATTTTCAACCGACCAAAAGTCAGCAAAAGGTCCGTCGAGATGTCGGAGTAAAAATCTTCTTTCTCAAAATGAATTGTCGAATATCTTTTAAAAATTGCACTTGCACTTGGTACCTTCCAAAACCCGGAGAGCAAAGAGAACACACACCGGAAAATCTTCCTGGCAAGCCCACGGAAGCACGCGTGAAGCTCTTCTGGGGCTCTGGGGGGCTCTCCCACAGCGCTTCCGAAACGCTGCCAAAAACGCTTCCACGCGGGCCTGCCCGCGCGCGGGCTCGCGTGGAAGCGTTTTTGGAAGCTCTCCCGGACCAGTTGCCGGCTCAGGCGAGCTGCTGCGAGAATTCTGGACCGGCGGGGATGGACTGCTGGCGAGCACCACCACCGTCCGGCTTCTAATCTTACACCCTTTAGCTCTCAGCGAGCTCTCCGGGAAAAAACCGACCAAACTGGGCGCCGGCGGTAAGCCGTCAACCTTGGTTTTTGCTTTGCTCGGAGCCCACAGGGACAGAGGAGTCCCCGCTCAAGATTCAGGTCCGCAGCAGCGGAGCAGATGCTCGCCATCCAACACGAAGCATCCACGACTCGCCAAAAGCGAGACAGCGGACAACCTACAAGGGATGCTAGTTAGTAAACGTCTCACCACGGGGAGTGCACAACAAGGCGAAGCCTTAGAATATGGCATGAAGCAACATGTGCAGAAGCCACATTACACTAAAGCGGTCAACAATTACGCAACTCCAGTATGCAAGAGGTTACCAACACGAAACTTTGGATACACATGATTATTGAGGGAGATCCACACTGTTCCGAAATCAGCCACAGCCGACCAACAGGCAGACCAAACGTTTGGAAGGGAAGGAAACACCCTAACCGTATATATGCGAAGTCCCAAGAAGAAAAGGTCCCATTGGGCAGAAAAGGGTCGCTTCAACCCGTGCTGAGTTTTGGGAGCCAGTTCAATAACGTTTCAACCAACACAGCGATAACTCTAATCCATCGTCTCCAATAGGCGTCCAAGGAAGTGTTGTGCGAGAGACCGATAATGAATAGCAAGCCCATCGTGTGCGACTATGTCCTGGAGGGTTCGGAGCATGTCGGGATAGCATCCATACTCGAGGAGGTCAGCCCATTCGTGCAAGAAATGATCCCTCTCCTCCTGAGGGCAGCTTGTGTAAGCCGCTAAGAAGTCGACAACCCATTCAGTCTGCGCACTTTCGAACTCACTATCACTCGATTCCCCATCGTCATGGTATTTTGGAAACAACATCATGTACGCTCGCAGTCGACTCGGGTCCACATGTGGCCTCTGAAGGAGATGCTGGCATACATCCTCAAACATATCCTCAAACATCTCCTCACACATCTCCTCAGGATCTCTGTCTTCCACTGTTGGGTCCGCACTCGCTCCAACCTCGGACGAAGCTTGATTGGAAGAAACTTGATTGGAGCAAACTGGATTGGAAGAACCTTGATTTGAAGCTCCAACCTCTGTCGAAGCGCCAACCTCTGACGAAGCTCCAACCTCTGACGAAGCTTCCACTGTTGGGTCCGCACTCGCACCAACCTCTGACGAAGCTCCAACCTGGTTTGAAGACACTTGATTGGAAGAACCTTGATTTGAAGGACTGCTCTGGTTGGAACAACTGCCCAATTGATTTGAAGAAACTTGATTGGAAGAACCTTGAATTGAATAACTGCCATGATTTAAAGCACTGCCCTGGTTTGAAGAACGGCCATCGCTTTCCTCTCGCCCCCTCTTGTCGCCTCTTTCCCTGCCTGAAACTCGAGCGGAAGAACTGCCCACCACAGGACCGCTAGGCCTGAAAACTTGAGCGGAAGAACTGAGGCCGTCAGAGTGCACCTGCGAAGGACCAACATGTTCGCCGAGGGCACCAGCCAGATAGATTGTGGCGGGAGCGCGTGTGGTGTCGAACGGAACGGTAAACAAGCTAAAGTCCACCTCAACCTGCCTCCAGGCAGCCAGAGTCAATCTACGGGTCTTGCGCTTCCAACTGATCGATTTGGGACCAGACACGGGGGACAGAGTAGGGGAAGTATGAGTGTTGTAACATGCATGCCAGTCGTGACTTATCTGAGACCGCTCACTTGAGTATGAAAACCAAGGGGGTCCACCAAGAGAAGACAACATCGATTAGAGAATAAAAGAAAACTGCAACCAATCTTGAGATCTGTTATCTGTAATGCGTCCTGAGTGCACAACAAAACCACACACGATTGAAAACGGGCAAACGCAAGAGGGTGAAAGCTGAGCGAGCCCTCCACACGCGGGCTGATTGAAAACTGGCAAGAGTGCAGAGATCGGGCACCGTGATGGCTGTCACGGAGTCTGCGCTTGACTGTGTGTGTGCCCTCGTAACGTAAGCGAAACACAAGCTTTGCTGGCGTAGGGGTTCTAAACTGGAGGCGAGGTCCAGGCAGAGTTTAAAACCCCTGTCGGATGCGAAGAGCAACCACGCCTTGAGCAACCACGCCTTGAGCAACCTTGGTTACCGCCGGGAAACTCGTAGAGCTTCCTAGCTCGACTCGAGTTGAGAAAACCGACAGCAACCAACATTCCGACTAATAGTCAATATTTTTTGACCTCTGAATGCGACAGGCAGACGCGTCTGATGTCTGAATCGACTCCTGTCATTACCATCCCTGCAGCCCCCCTACAGCCCAAGTTAACTGCAGAAAACCGACAGCATCTCTCAGAATGACTCGAACAATACAATAGTTTTGCAGACCTAGTTCGAGCTGCAGACCGAGTTCCGAGCTCTGAATTCGACAGGCGGACGCGCCTGATGTTTCGAAATCGATGCCTGTGACCACCAGCACTGTAGCCCCCTCAGCGCGAGTTCAGTAAAGAAAACCGAGAGCACTTCTCAAGATGACTCGACCAATACGAATAGTTTCGCGATTCTAAATCGGGCAGCAGACCGAATTCAGAGCTCTCGATTCGATAGCCAAACGCAACTGATGATTCTGCATCGGTTTCTGTAAATATGAGCTCTTTAGCTGTCCTACAGCTCGGGCTAAGTACAGAAACCAGGAGATCCTGTCAAGATAACTCGAATAATACGAATAGGTTTGCGGACCTAGCTCGGCTAACAGACCGAGTTCAGACCTCTGGATTCAACAGGCGAACGCGCCTAATCATTCTACATCGATTAGCTGTGCTTACCAGCTCTGTAGCTGTCCTAAAGCTCGAGTTATGTTCAGAAACCCGTTAGCGCGTATCAAGATGACTCAAAACGGCCGATCCCGCCACAGTGCTTTTCGATAGTAATATTCACCCGATCGAGCTGAGATCAAGATGGCGAGCGGGAATAAGATCGAAGATCACGGGAAAAATACTAGAGCTCTAACGAATGGTCAGATTTCGAGAACATAATTTTCAACCGAGCCAAAGTTGTGAAAAGTTCAGTCGAGATTTTTCGAGCCAACTAGCCTGCCAGCGTTTTCGAATTACTGGGCGCCGGCGGTAAACCGTCAACCTTGGTTACCGCCGGGAGACTCGTGGAGCTTCCTAGCTCGACTTAAGTTAAGAGATCCGACAGCACCTACCAATATTCCGACTTATAGTGAATATTGTTTCACCTCTAAATGCGACAGGCGGACGCGTCTGATGTCTCCGAATCGACTCCTGTCATTACCAGCCCTTCAGCCCCCTACAGCCCGAGTTGAGTGCAGAAAACCAACAGGATCTCTCAGGATGACTCGAATAATACAGTAGTTTCGCAGACCTAATTCGAGCAGCAGAGTGAGTTCCGAGCTCTGGATTCGACAGGCGGACGCGCCTGATGTCTTCAAATCGATGCTTGTGACCACGAGCACTCTAGCCCCCCCTCAGCGCGAGTTGAGTGAAGGAAACCGAGAGCATTTCTCAAGATGACTCGACCAATACAAATAGTTTCGAGATTCTAGATCGGAAAGCAGACAACTTTAGAGCTCTGGATTCGAAAGACAAACGCAACTGATGATTCTGAATCAGATTCTGTGAACAGCAGCTCTCTAGCTGTCCTACAGCTCGAGTTAAGTACAGAAAACCAGGAGATCCTGTCAAGATAACTCGAATAATACGAATAGGTTTGCGGACCTAGCTCGGCTAACAGACCGAGTTCAGACCTCTGGATTCAACAGGCGAACGCGCCTAATCATTCTACATCGATTAGCTGTGCTTACCAGCTCTGTAGCTGTCCTAAAGCTCGAGTTATGTTCAGAAAACCGTCAGCGCGTATCAAGATGACTCAAAAAGGCCGATCCCGCCACAGTGCTTTTCGATAGTAATATTCACCCGATCGAGCTGAGATCAAGATGGCGAGCGGGAATAAGATCGAATATCACGGGAAAAAATACTAGAGCTCTAACGAATGGTCAAATTTCGAGAACAAAAATTTCAACCGACCAAAAGTCAGCAAAAGGTCCGTCGAGATTTTTCTTGCCAACTAGCTCTCCAGCGCTCCGGAACTGGCGCCGGCGGTGAACCGTCAACCTGGTCACCGCCGGAAACCTCGTAGAGCTCCTCTCACAAGTAAGCGTGCAGAGAATCGAGACAGAATGAAAAATAGAGATTTTTCGAAAATCTTGAAATTCGATATTTTCGATCTTCATATTCGCTCAGATCCTGGAAGTCAACTCATGCAAAAATGCATCGAGAGGGCTGAGCTGCTGTCAGAAAGGAGTTCATATGCAAATGCTCGGCGTAAAAATCTGCTTTCTCAAAATAATGGTTCAAATATCTTTCAAATTTTCGCAAAACCACCCAAAAGTTATCACATTGTCCGCCTCGGCCGGCTGGGCCAACTAGCTCCACCCCGCGCCGGAATTCCTATAGCTCATCGATGCCGAAGAGCTCTACGAGGTATTACTCTTAAGCTTCCAGCAACTGGGCGCCAGCGGTAAACCGTCAACCTTTCTTACCGCCGGGGGACTCGTAGAGCTTCCTGATAAAATATAATGTGGGAAAAAATCCAGAGAAGCCCAAGCGATTTCAGACCTCTCTAACAAAAAAAGCGAATAGTTTGGCAACCCAGCTCGAGTATCAAACTGAGTTCAGACCTCTCAATGAGACAGGCGGACGCGTCTGATGTCTGCAAATCGACTCCTGTGAGTACCAGCGATGCAGCCCCCCCACAGCCGGAGTTAAATGCAGAAAACCGACAACACCTCTCAGGATGACTCCAATACTAAAGTAGTTTTGCAGACCTAGTTCGAGCAGCAGACCGAGTTCCGAGCTCTGGGTTCGACAGACGGACGCGCCTGATGTCTCCAAATCGACTTCTGTGACCACCAGCACTGTATCTCTCCCCCAGCACGAGTTAAGTGAAAACCGAGAGCACTTCTCAAGACGACCCAAAGAATACGAATAGTTTGGGGAAGCTAGCTCGGGCAGCAGGCCGAGTTCAGAGCTCTCGATTCAACAGACGAACGCGCCTGATGATTCCTAATCGATTTCTGTGACTATGAGCTCTGTAGCTGCCCTACAGCTCGAGTTAAGTATAGAAAACCGAGAGCGTCTGTCAAGATGACTCGAATAATACGAATAGGTTTACGGACCTAGCTCGGCCAGTAGACCGAGTTCAGACCTCTGGGTTCAACAGGCGAACGCGCCTGATCACTCTGAATCGGTTAGCTCTACTTACCAGCACTGTAGCTGTCCAGAAGCTAGAGTTATCTTGAGAAAACCGTCACCGCGTGACAAGATGACCCAAAACGGGCGATCCCGCCTGCCTGCTTTTTGGCAGTAAAAGGTACCCGATCGAGCTGAGATCAAGATGACGAGCGGAAATAAGCTCGAATATCATGGGAAAAAATACTAGAGCTCTAACGAATGTTCAAATTTTGAGAACAAAATTTTTAAACGACCAAAAGTCAGCAAAAGGTCCGTCGAGAATTTTCTTGTCAACTAGCTCTCCAGCGCCCCGGAACTGGGAGCCGGCGGTAAACCGTCAACCAGGTAACCGACGGGAGCCTCGTAGAGCTCTGTTCTCGCACGGCGCTGCTTCGAACACGTGGCAGAAGCTTTTCTGATATGCGAGCTGAAAACTCGAAAAACTAAGTTTTTTAGTTGTCACCGAACGACGGTTCCGCCAAGTGTTTTGATAGTAATACTGCAGCTACGCACCTGAGAATTCATTGGCAGACGCGACAAAACCCACTACAACTGCGAAAAATACCGGTTCTTAAAACGAATGTTCAAATCTCTCACAAAGTTCGTCCAACCGACCCAAAGTTCGCACATTGTCCGTCGGGGCCGGGTCGGCCAACTGGCGCCGGCGGTGAACCGTCAACCTGGTCACCGCCGGGAACCTCGTAGAGCTCCTCTCACTAGTAAGAGTGCAGAGAATCGACACGGAATCAAAAAATGGAGATTTTTCGAAAATCTTGAAATTCGATTTTTTCGATGTTCATATTCGCTCAGTTCCCGGAAGTCAACTCATGCAAAAATGCATCGAGAGAGCTGAGCTGCTGTCAGAGAGGAGTTCATATGCCAATGCTCGGCGTAAAAATCTGCTTTTTCAAAATAAATGGTCGAATATCTTTCAAAGTATCGCAAAAGCTCTACGAGGTACTGGGCGCCGGCGGCAAACCGTCAACCTTTCTTACCGCCGGGGGACTCGTAGAGCTTCCTGACTATATATAATGTAGAAAATAAATTGCAGAGAACGAATAGTTTTTCAGCCGAAGCGATTTCAGACCTCTCGATGCAACAGCCGAACGCCCCCTGATGCTTCTGGATTGTCTTCTGTACGAGCTCTGTAGCTCTCCTACAGCCCGAGTTACGTGCGCTAATCAACAGCACCTCTGGAGATAACTCAAACAAAACGAATAGTTTCCTAAACCCAGCTCGAGTATCAGACCGAGTTCAGGCCTCTGAACGCGACAGGCGGACGCGTCAGATGTCTCCGAATCGATCCCTGTGATTACCAGCCCTGCAGCTCCCCTACAGCCCGAGTTAAGTGCAGAAAACCGACAGCATCTTTCAGGATGACTCGAACAATACGAACAGGTTCGCGATCCGAGTTCAGCCAGCAGGCCGAGTTCCGAGCTCTGGCGTCCACAGACGGACGCGCCTGACGTCTCCAAATCGATTGCTGTTCCCACCAGCACTGTAGCCCCCTACAGCCCGAGTTAAGTTTAGAAAGCGACAGTACTTCTTCAGATAATTCGAATAATACGAATAGTTTCGCGATTCTAGCTCGGGCAGCAGGGCGAGGTCAGAGCTCTCGATTCAACAGACGAACGCGCCTGATGATTCCCAATCGATTTCTGTGACTATGAGCTCTGTAGCTGCCTCTGAGCGTCTGTCAAGATGACTCAGATAATACGAATAAGCTTTTGAACCTAGCTCGGCTAGCAGACCGAGTTCAGGCCTCTGGGTTCAACAGGCGAACGCGTCTGATCATTCTACATCGATTAGCTGTGCTTACTGTCTCTGTAGCTGTCCTCAAGCTCGAGTTATGTTCAGAAAACAGACAGCGCGTATCAAGATGACTCGAAACAGCCGATCACGCCTGCCTGCTTTTTGGCAGTAAAAGGTACCCGATCGAGCTGAGATCAAGATGGCGAGC